AGTGAACTTGTGTGCTGCACAACTTATCTTTATATATGCTGCAAATCCATGCACTTATTCAATTCTGATAAGCTCTTTGCGTTCCTGGTGATGCTGATTATCAGCAGAAGGGGATTTTCTTATCTTGGCTTTAGGACCAACACCAGAACCCAACATTAACTAGGATCATGATCTAAAACCTGCAGAATCTCCCAAGAGCATTCAAAACGCCTCTGCCTCCTCTGTGTGTCACCAAATCCTTCACCTGAGCTGTGCAGTTGTGCACCTTTTGGGCAGCCTTAACTGTGGGTGAAGATAGTAGAGCTGTCTGAGTATTCCTGAATGAAAGGGGCTCTTTTGTCCCCCACAAATGTGGTGTTTGGATAGAGAAAAATCAAAAGGAGGGATGCAGACAGGCCAGTCACCAAACCTGGCATTGCATCTGCTCATGCAGGTGAAGTTGTGAGCCCAAGGGTGAGATCCACAGAAGCGGTTCTCCACTCTGCTAAGCCTCTACCTGCTGCAGTTCCAGTGTGGCCTGTGGCACACACTTCTGCCCTGGGACATTGTGTGGATGGTGTTGATCAAGACAATAGAGGTTCTGTGAGGTGGTGAGGGCACCCACCGCTTTGAGAACCCTGTTCCAAGATCAGCTGTGATCAAATTGTCCCACTAATGTCCCATGACCCAGGATGTGTAAAACACTTCCCTTGGCATGCAGGCATGTGGTACCCGTGCTGCGTGCTTGTGCGGTAGCCTGTTAGACTCCCACGTCATCGTTTAGTGCAGGAGCTAGATTCCCTCTTGCAGCATCTGCACAGTATTTTTTTGCAGACCCTGCTCAGGAGCTTTGCAGCAAGTCTGGCAATGCTGAAGATTCCCTGCCATGGGCTTGCTGTGCTTCCAAGGCAGACTGTCAGCTGCACACCCTGACTGACTGGGCTAGGAGAAAATCTGTCCCATAATGGTGGTAGTACTGTACCAGCAGAAATGGTGGGGGTCCTGCCTGCAGATGATGTTTAGTCTGAGGATATAGGGACACTATGGCTTTTAATGATTTTTGTTTAGGTAGATTCAGGCTTTTCCTTAGTAAACAAGACAGCATTATCACAGAGCTGCTTTGTTTTCCAGTGACGGGTCTCACACACAACAAATATGTTAAAGTTAACTGAAACAAGCATTGATTTTTTCTCTTAGTACATGTGGGATTTCCTCCCTTGGGAGGGCTTAAGTAGTACTGGAGACCTGGGAGACTGTATGTGTGTGAAGAGTGCTGTGTAACGGGGCCATTACTTTTTCTTCATACTCTAAATTTTACTCTTATGGTCTCTTCCCCATCTCCACACCTTCACCCTCCTCCCCCCCTTTCTTTCAGGTTCCAGATCCCACTCAGAAATTTCTTGGGGTGACAGTGACTGGGAGACACAGTGAGCCTCCAGGGAAGCCTGGGTGTGTGCAGTCCTGCGGGGGGAGAGGGGTACGGAGCAATGCTGGGCAGAACTGGGCAAAACAGAAGGGATGGGGGTACTGGGGAGCAGGTCTACAACCAGCAGTGGAGGTACTGATGGTGAAGTTACTGATATGTGTGATAGGAGTTAACTCTTTGTTTTAATTTTTTTTCCCAAATGAAAGTCACAGAATAGAAAAAAAAAACAAACAAAAAAAAAACAACAAAAAAAAGCAAAACAAAACCAAAAAATCATCACCAAACCTCCAAAAGATCAATGCTATTTTAAAAGGCTTTGGTCTGAAATGATTGTCAGGCTCTATTTCTTTTTTTTTCTTTATATAGTGTCATTAGACTTCTTCCATCCAAATCATCCCCTCCAAAAAAACCATAGCTCCCCCAATTGTTTTTCTTTCCTTAATTGAACCCAGCTCCCCCTTGGTTATAGGCATGTTCTGCTGCTTTATATCTGTGCCACAATTTGCCTTCCAGAACATTTACTTACTTGCTTACTTAGAAATCTACTGCATTGCCTGGTGCTATGGCATATGGTTGCCTTACATCAATTAAAAATCAACATGGTCCAACAGAATATAACACCAACCCCTGCTTCTTTGAATGGATGTTTGCAGCTGGGTAGGGATTAAAGCAGATTGTAATGGATTAGACCAAGGATTGAAACGGTCTGTAATGGATACTGTGTTGGACTATTTAATTTCTATTCTTGGATATAGACTGTGCAAATCTAGGGATGTCAAATGACATCCTCACTGTCACCTCGTCATGCAGGAGGCCAAGTTTTGAAGCAAACCTGACATTCCTGCAACAGGGATGGTACAAACTGGAAAGAACCCTTTTTTGTGTGCTGGTGATGGGCACGCAGTTCGCAAATCGTGCAGGAGATGGGGATGTTGCTCACGTTACCTTTGTCTTCTAGAGAAGGAAAGGGATTAGAGAGCACTGCTGCTTCTTTGGCACCGAGGTCTCTGCTAAGGGCTGGGAGATTTTAATAGGCAGTCCCACATTATCAGTGGGACTTCACATGTACGTCCTATTATTTAACAGTAATAAGCAGGCACTAATTTTTTTTTTTTTTTTTTTTTTTAGGATTTTCTTTAGAAACACCAGCACTTCCTGTGGGTATCTGTCTGAGGAATGAGGGCCTGGGGTGATCTTGCTGACATAGTATGAACTGAATGTCTGAGGTTGTCCCTGAGTGTGGCAGGTGTGGATGGTACTCACAGAGGGTGATCTTAGTTGCAGGTAACAGCTCTTCAGCCTGCAGGGTAGGAGATACTTGCTATTGGGGTGGTGAAAGTACTGCCCTTAGGAAAGTGTTGGTGAACACACCTGTGCATGAAGCCCATCACATTCTGTGCCATGTCCAGCACAGCTGGGCTCTTGTGGTGACAAGGAGCGATGTGGTGGGCACAGAGCAATGCCTTGTGCTGGCAGGTTATGGGAAAGGAGATGTGTCCACAAGTCCTGTCTTGGTGTTGGTGGGCTTTGGTCATGAAATCAGGGATGATGCTGCACAAATGAGTGGCTGATCCAGGTGCGAACAAGGACTAGGTGTCCAGGAAAGCTGAGAAGATAAATGGGACTAGGTGGACTGCACAGTAGCTAAGCAGTGGCAATTTCTAGCCCCATGGTAGCTTTTACTTTGTGGTGACAGGGGTTCTGGACATGCAGAAATCTCCAGGAGCAGCAGCGAGCTGCTGCTGGGTCCAGAGGGACTGGAGAAACTGTAATCAGAATGTAAGGACAAGTTCTGCGTGTCACGGCTGCAGCCTCACTGTAGGAGGATTACGTTAGGCGGGCAGTGCATCCCTTCACAGTGCATAGCAGTGGCAAGATCCAGGGGTGGCACGCGTGCCGCTGATGCCACGTACCTGGGGACACTTTTTGCAGCCGTCGATCTGGGGAGAGAGCTGAGTTCCTTCCTGGTCCCCATACCATGTTGTTCCTCTACAAGTGGCAGGAGGGTTCAGTCTCGGGGCTGGCCCGGCTCTGTGCGCGCAGGGCAGCGCTGCCACAGGTGTGTGCAGCTCGTGCAGTCCCCTCGCCCGGGGTTTTATGGATCAGCTCTGGCTGAGGCCCACGTCACTGCTCCCACACAAATGAAATGTCATCTCCTAAACATTTTGTCAGCGTAGTTTGAAAAGGAGTCGATTCCAAGCCACAAATAACATCCTTTGGGTTGGGGGGAGCGGGGACTGGTGATTTGCTTTCCCTGCCCCCACCTCCCACTTTCCCATTCCATATGGGGATTTGCGGCTCGCGGGCAGGGCCGTGCCCGTGGGTAACGGCCCCCACCCCCGTCGCCTTCCCGGAGCTGTTAGTGCTTTTCTCTGCAAACCGGCTGCCACCCCGGACCCTCTTTTCACTCCTGCAGTCATTTAGCGCCAGTTCCCCCCTCTTTGCAACAGCCAGCGGTTTTTGCAGTCTGCCTTCTCTTCCCCCTCCCACCTCCAACTTGCTTCTCGCTCTCCCCAGCGGCAGCCGGGCTGCACAGACCCCCCCCCGCCCGAGTCAGACGCTTTGCAGCAGGCGGTGGTTAAGCGCGGGGCACCGGCCAGCAAGGAAACCTCTCCCAGCGGGGGCACAGCCATCTCCCCCGCCCTTTCTCTGTCCCCCCCTCTCCCTCCCGGGAGGGCTGGGCGACCCACGTTAGGCGGGAGAAATTGTTGAGCCGTCCCCGCTGTGGGACTGGCGCTGGAGGGGAGGAGGGGGGGAAGAACCACGTAGCTGGTGGATCCGTCCTTGGACGGCAAAGAATGGCTGATGGGGTAAGTGGGAGGGTGGCACGATTAACAAAACGCTAATTATTGACACTTTTCAAAGGGAGGAGGAGAACGGGGGAAGGTCGACCGTGGGTTTGATGTGAAGAGAAGGTGCCGACGTGTCGCTGCAATGAATCGCTCCGGAGGGACGTGGCACAGGCACGGGTGGCTGTGACAAGGGTGACCCCAGGGAGGGTGGGGGGACGCCCCGCAGCCGTGGGAGGCGGCAGCCTGCCCTCTCCCCTTCGCATCGTGCGATTACTCACACCTTGTCCGGGTGCTGAAGCTGCAAAGGCTCCTTGGGCTTTGCCAGCCAAAAGCCGGTGTCGTGGCCGGGGGAAGCGCCGCGTCCCTGCGGTGGGAGGGGAGCGCTGCGCTGCCGTCACCTACAGAAACGCGTGTCCCCCCCGCGCCTTCTCCCCACACAGTCCCGAGATGCTGCTGCAGCAGCCAGCTGCCCGCAGATCCTGCCCTGGCTTGGTTTATTCGCCCCCCAAATAAATCCGGCTAGTCTCCCCTTCCGGACGGTGGCAAGGTTGCTGGGATTCCCACGCACACGCGCGAGTTCCCACGACCGGGAGGCTCCCCTCGGCACGGGCATATCCACATGCCCGGAGCCGGCTCTGGAGCGGTGCTGCTGGGTGGCCGAATCCGTGGGTACGCTGTTACACGCGGGGACTCACCCCGGAGCCCCTCATCCCAGCCGCGCTGCCTTGTACCCCCGCCTTGCCCATCTCCAGCCTTTGTGCATACACACGCGCGCCTATAGACAGGCTGAGGAACACCTACACTGCTGTAAACACGAGTGTATGTAAATATACACCAGGAGAGGCAGCGGATGACGGCTGCTTTGTCTCCGGCAGGAGCACACGTACCAAATCGGGAGGACCGGCTGGGTGATGCTCCAGCTGATTCGGCGCGGCGCGGTGTCCCGCTCCCGCCCCCGGCCCCGCTCCCGGCCCCCGGCGCGGCGCGGCTGGTGACTCGGCGGTGTATTTCAGCGGCGGCGGCGGCTTGGCAAGGCTCGGGGCTCCTCCCCCCGTGTGGTGTTACCCTCTCACTTGATCAAATCCTTGAACGTGAACAGTTTCACTGAAAAGCACTTTTCAAAAAAAAAAAAAAAAAAAAAAATCCACCAACAGTAAGGAACAGAATCCAACTACCGGGGAGAGAGTTTTTTTTTTCTTTTTTTTCTTTTTTCCTTCTTTCCATTTTTTTTTTTTTTTTTTTTTCCCTGGTCATCGTCTCAGAGGCTGAGAAAGGGGGAAGAGAAAGAAAGAAGGAGAGCGAGAGAAAGAGGAGCCTTTTGCAAATAATAATTATTATAATTAGAATCCGGCCCCTTTCTCCTTAAAAAAAAAAAAAAAAAAAAGAAGCCCTAAACGCTGCGCCTCGTCCCCCCTCCCTCTGCAAGCCCCCCGACTCGCTCCGCAAAGGCATGGAGAAGGGGACTAACTGCTTTCCGACCTGCCACACCGTTTTCCTCGCCTGGACATGGCTCTTACTTCTCTCTTGGTGTTGCACCGGCGCCGAAATAACTTGCAGATCCTGCTCGTCTCCATCGCCCTCCTGGCCGTCCTCCTCGTCTCGCCTTAGGCAGGAGCAGCGACACCCGCCGCCGCCGCCGCCGCGGGGATTACGGAGCTGGCCGGGCGGCCGAGCGCGGGGCTCGGCTGGGGCGGCGGCCGCCGCGGAGCCGCTGCCGGGCGGGGAGCCGGGGGGCCGAGCGGGGCCGCGGGGAGCGGCGCTCCGCTCGGCGGGGGCGGGCGGCGGCGCGCCCGGGGGCCGGGGCCCGGCGGCGGCGGCGCGGAGCCGGCGGAGCAGCGAGGGGCGGCGGGCGCTACCGGCGGGCGGCGGCCGGGGGGTGCCCGCGGCCGAGGGGCAGCGCGGCGGCCGGGTTCAGCCCCGCGGGCCCCCGGAGGAGGGGAGAGCGGCGCGGCTGCGGGGGGCAGAGGAGCTGAAGCTGAGCAGCACCACCTTCGCGCTCACCGGGGATGCGGCGCACAACCAAGCCATGGTGCACTGGTCCGGGCACAACAGCAGCGTGAGTATCGGTCCCACCGACCCGGCTGCGGGGCGGGATGGTGCCGCGCTTGCCGCGGGGGTGGGGTGGGGGGGCGGTTGGCGGGCACCGTGCTCTTAGCGCCGGGGGTCGCGGGGTGGGGGGGACGGGCACACACGCGGCAGGGAGCGATGGCCGCGGGAAAAGAGAAAAGTTTTCCTGGGGAGAGAGGAAAGAGGATGGGAACACGTTTCTCCCCCCCTCCGCCCCCGGGGGCAGAGCGGTCGGAACCGCCGCCAAAGCGGCCGGGCAGCCGGAGCCTTCATCCACCCCTGCGCCGGGGCGAGCCCGGCTCCCTGCTCCGGTCTGTCCCGTGTGCCCGCACAGCTGGGTCCCCCTTCTCTCTGGCTCTTCATATGTGATATACACCCCGGCACGCTTCGCTGCCTCTGTGCCGGGGGGGATGAATGATGTGCAGCGGTACAGGTGGTAAAAGCCCTCCTGTTCCCCGCTCTGCATGCTGGCGACACGAGAGATCCCATTAATTCGTTAAGGGGGTGGAAAGCCCCGCAGCAAGTTAAAGGAGCTCAGAAAGGAGGTAGTGCAAGCGCAGTGAAAAGTTTTGAAAAAATCGATGGCGTTCCATGTTTTTCCCCCGAGGTCAATGATAACGAGTCACTGAGGTGTCCCTGAAAGTCTGGGGGACCGTGCGTGCGTTGTGTGGGGTGTCCCAAAAGCCCCCACACCATTGTGCGGTGGTAGCGCGGGGCCCTCCTTCGCACCCTGCTTTGCAACGCCCGGCAGATGGCTGTGGACGTAACTTCAATTTTCTTTTAACATGGTATCAGAAATCCTATTTCCATTCTAGTGTAAAGTCTGTGAGCAGATGTAATTTAAAGGACTCCAGGAAACCTTTATGTCTGGTGACAATATTCCCATTATTGTAATTACTGTAGCTTGCCACTGCCTTGAAAATGCCTCTTTTATTGTTTTGCCATTATTGGAAATGGGCATAAAGCAATTAACATCATAAAACAGATCAGCTGGATTTTCAGATGCATTCTTCATGAAACTTAGCAGTCATTAAAAAAAATTGTTTATCTATCTATCTGTCTATCTATGTGTAACTATCTATGTATCAGCTATAACTTCGTAATGTGCAATTCAACCACCTCTTAATTTTTTTGACTGGAAGTTTTTTTCTCTATTTATTATTACTTAGGCAATAATTCTGACAGCAATGTAGATGTTACTTTGATTTAACCAATTTTTAGAGGCAGCTGTGTTTGCCAGACATGAATTCCACTCTCATTAAAGATGAAAGCAAACATTCAAGAGAAAGTAGATGCATGGTATGTTTTAGCACTACACTTGTCTCTAGGATTATTTATTTTTAATATAACATGGCATGTAATGAAGAAAACAACCTATATGGCCTCTCTTTTGTTTGATTTTGGTGCTGAATCAGGGAGTGTTGAGCAAAAGAAGCTAAAATCCCCCCATCCCTTCCCCTCATGGATTCCCATTAGTTTTGAGTATTTCTGGTTGAAGTAGCAGAAAAAAACTCATTCTGTAGGCATTGGCAGGGGAAAGAAAGGTTATTTTTCCTAAAGTGCAGGTCAGAAAGTGATTTTTAGAAAATTCTCCCTCCTTTTTTGGTTTCTTTTACAGAAATATGCCATTTAAATAACTAGTTTCCATTATTCTTTAACTCCAGGTGATTGAGAAGGGTAATATAGGAAAACATCTCCATTGTTCGTGACTTTCCATTAAGATTTTGTACCTCAACATAACATGCATTGAAAGCTTCCAACTCACAAGCAAAAGCAAAAGATGTGTTTATTGCCGGTGTGGTGTTTATAGGAAGGAAAAGCAAGGATGTTAATACATACTAGTGTTATCTTTTTGTGGTTTTTCTAATAAGATGTTTAACATCTGGAGACTTTTTCTCTCCTGTCTCTTGGAGAAAACACACTGCATTTAGTGATTAATTGGATTTAATTTTTTTTTTAAACAGTGTAAGAAGAAAGTAAAATGCTTGAACCAGGGTCCTTTTATTTATTAGCAGAGAAGGCTGAATCCAATGCCCGTTTTTCTGCTGCAGTTCAGTTTTTACTTAATTCTACTGTTGGGGTGTCTGTGGCACAGGACCATCAAGCAATTTGCCCAAGGTCACTTAGGGAAGCAGTGTGGCTTCTTTTGCTAGCCACACTGGTTCCCAGTCTTTCACCTCAAAGCATTGTATTTTCTTAGGTCACAGTAGATGTAAAGCACCAGGAAGGTGTATTGAAAATGGCCAAAAAATCATGACGCGTGAGTTAATATCATGCCAGATGACCTAGGAGAGCAGGTAGGACATGTCTGTATATACTATTGTTTACAGGCTACCAAAGCAGTAAAGAGGTGTACAGCTTGCTTTTACCAATTCCCTGTTACTTGAACAGAGTTCAGAATCTAAGCTTTTGTCACTTATGATTTATTAAAACCATGATCAATCAAATTTCATGCAATGAAGCAGCATATTTCAAATCAGACATTAGTGCTGGGGGATTCCTAAGAAATGGATGGATTTGCAAAGAAGAGGAAAGCATGGTAATAAAAAAATCAGGTTTTTACTGGGATGTATAAATCTACAGACACTCCACAAAAGGGAGATCTCTGCAGCTGCTGCATGTCGTGTTACCTAGAATGTTAAAAATCTCCTGTGTTGTTGGTTTTTGTGTGGTTTTTTTTTTTTAAGTATTTTAAGAGCAACTCCCCCTCTGTCTCCTATCCCCCTTTTCTCTCACGTCCCTCAAATCTCAATTTAACTTATTAAAAAAATAATCCCTTCCAGGCAACAAACTTTTGTTTTCTCCATTTGCAGATAGTGAGGTCAGGATTAGGACAGAGGCAAAAGGCTGGTGAGATTGGGGAATTTGGGTTCTCTGCTTTGTCCTGCCCAGAGGCTTTTTCTGTGACCTTAGGAAAGACAATTAACCTCTCTGGATCAGCTTTTCCATGTTAAATGAGGATAGTACTACTTAGCTACCACAAAGTGGTGGTGTGGAGCAGAATTCATTTCTGCTTTGTACGATACCTGAAGATCTTCAAGTGGAAATTGTTAGGAAAATGCAAAAATACTATTCTGTGAATAAATGAGGTTTGTATTCTCTGTGTTCTTTGGAATGGGACTTGGCTTAATTCAGTGAGTCTGATATTAAGAAAAGGAGTCTGGTACTTGGGCTTCAAGTATCAGTCTGCCCTAATAGAAGCATTTATTGAGAGAGGCCACTGAAGCTCTTGAGGGACCTGGTAGAGATCAGATAAAGTGTTTTCTTGCTAAGGCTTTTCTGAAGGAAGGAGAATTTTTAGTGAAAAATGCTCTTATTCCCAGAAGATCTGCAAGCCATTCTTTTTTCAAAGTCGTTCCTCTCTGAACATACACTGTGTACAAATTGTGCCATTCGATGAGCAGTTGTATCCTCTACGCCTGTTTTCCCTCTCTCTAGATGGTTATGTTATTGCATGAAATTTTTCCTTGTTCTGCTCACCAGATGCTCACTCCAACCTTCCTGTGAAGATGATATGATTCCTCAGATTATCTTGTCTTCCTTCCTCTCTCCCTGATTACTAGGATAAGAACCTGCAAAAATAAGTACCATCACCTTTAATGCTGTTAGAGCTTTAAATCTCGCTATCTTGTTTCTTGACAATATTTTTTTTTTTTCAAGAGATTTAAACAAGCTACAGTGGATAAAACATACTTAGCTTGTTCTCCTGATATGGTCACTATTATCATGGTAAATGGTGACTGTTGTCATCAGGTTTCAGAGTTGTCACTCTGATGAATGTAGCTGTTTATAGGAAGTACTTAATTCTGTCCATGCTTTTTCCATGACGGGAGTACTGCAAATTGTGTTATTGTGGGTGTGTTTGTTTTTTTTTTTTTTTTTTCCAATATAAGAAGCAAAGATGCACATTTTTAGCATTCTTTTAGCCTCTAGAAGACATTTTCAAACCATTATCTATGGAGAGGCCTCAGCTTATCACAGTGTGCTTTAGCTATCCCATGTATACATGCCTTTACCTTTCTAGTAACCACAGGCAAACTTTAGACATAAAGATGAGGAAACGCACTATAATGCCACAGCAATAGCAGGAGAGGGCATTTGTCTAAGGCGTGTGCAATATTTTAGGTTGCTTCAGCCAGGCCAAGTTCCTATATGATCCTAGGGGCTGGACTTTTCATACTATAGGAAAAATGTCAGCAGTGCGTATTTTTATCTCAATGCAGTGCAAGCAGTGCAGAAGATAAACCTGGAGAAGTATAGTGTGCCCAAGTGATATAGCTGCTACTTGTGCAGACCTTGCAATTGCATTGATGTTTATAGTATGATCCAAACTCTGAAAGTTGGGGAAGACAGGAGGAGAGCTGGTGAGAGACTGCACTGGGGCCTTGTTTTATCTTGTCAGCCATGCTACGCTGTTTTGTCCGGAGGTCCAGTCGGCCTTCAGAGTCTCGGAGTATGAGATGTCTTTGGAATGAGACTGGTAAAGAGGAGGTTAACAGTACTACAGTAGCCTACAACCACCTGAAGTATAGTTAGA